CTCTCTCTCTCTCTCTCTTACACACGCACACACATACACATGTGCACAATACACAACAGACAGCACACACACACGCACACAAAACTAATCAGCCGGTCTCTGTCTGCAACGATTACAGCCCTTGCTCCACCACCCTGGGCCAGTCAGACCACACAATTCAGCCTAGAGGACACTCGTGTCTGTTGCTTGTCCAGGGAACAACACGTTTTTCTAACCTCACTGCTCATCAATGTCTCCTCTCCTCATTTTTCAGTCCTCGTTGCATTCCATTATCTCCCCATCCTTCTCTTTTCATTGGTTCATCGAGGAAAAGCTTTAATTTTTGTCTCTCAACCTCTGGGTCTTTTACCTGCGGCCACCAACCTTACCCGCGGTGAATGAACCTCACTGGATGTACAAACGTTCAGGGAAATGTTTGTGGCAGACTCAGCATGTCTTTTCCTGGTTGCGATAGTAACAACAATTTCCCGACGTCCATTTCTTTTCAGCTTTTATTGGGTTTAAAGATAATTTCCTTTCACTTGTAGTTGTGTCGGTGTTTTGCTGTTGTTGTTGCTGCTGCTGCTGCTGCTGTTGTTGGTGCTTAAATGACTGGTGTAGTCTTTGCCAGTGTTGTAATTCTTCTAGATGCTATTCCAGTGTTATTGCTGCTGTTGCTGCTGATGCTACTGCTGTTGTTACTGATAATGCAAGTGATTATGATGATGTCACTGTTTTTTCTTGTCTGACCTTTCTCTCATGGACGCAGGGCTGGGGTCATATTAATTATAGGAGTTCGACGATGGGGGATCAGGACGCCAAAGCTAAAGTTTGGAAAATTTTGCGTTCCATAAAAGAATTGTGCCACTATTAAATCATCCAACACTTTATCGCTGTAATCACATGGCTTATGGAGGCTCTCATAAGCGACAAATCTAACAGTAAAGTTATCACACTTTGGACATCTACAACGTTTAGAGGCTGGCTCAGAAAAGTGTAGACATCACATAGATTTCACGAAAAACCTGCTTTCACACGGTGTCGAATCATAACGCTCGAATAAAAAAATCAACAACTGTTCTCACGCTGTTCTGCTCCCCAAAATAACACTGGAATCAAGAATTAAAAGTTGTTCCGCTTCTCACAAAACAACATCTGAACGGATACGAAGTCAAAGTTTTGATGAAAAACAAAATCAAATAAAGGACATTTAAAACGGCACTCTCACTTCCTCAGTAACATTCACACTTAAGTGTACAAAATATTAAGGCTCTAGGTCACCATTACCCTGAACGGCACATTATAATTTGTGAGAAGTCAAGGCTTTCTGTGTGGTCCTGCACAATACTTCATAGATCTTTGGCTTGGCCAGCAATGAATATAGTTCTTTAAAACACAAAGCTGAACAAAATAGTGTGTTTAAAGCAAACCTTTTTGAAAAGTTAAAGGATTTGGTTAAAAAAATCTTCTCAGAAAGAGCTGGAAAATCACATTAATGAAATCAGATAGATATGTGAGGTCTGTTATTTAGTCAGTTACATATTATCAATTCAAAGAGATATAATATATTATTAGAGAAAACATCACTAAATAAGAGATAGGCTCGTCCTTCTATGACTAAAGTATTAATGGTTCTGTTTGATCCAATTCATAATAACACAGTCTGACAAAAAAAATGTAATCCTCAGAAGCGAAAAACGATTTGCGAGTTCTCTGGAGTCATTCTAAATACCGAAATCAACAAAAACACAACACGAAACGGTGACTGTCTTCATCTCGCGCGAGCGTTCTGAATGCGTGCACCGGGCAAACCTCGGCGGACAAAAACATCAGACGTGAAATTTGTTGGCGCGGTCACCAAATGTCCTGGGACGTTGGGCAGGTGAGTGATGATTACAAGAGGTCAAATATCCTGTGACATGACGCATGCGCAGACCGGACCAAAGGCCACGGAGAGAGTCATTTGGATATTGATTCAGGCAGGTAAATTTCTTTGATCATTATCAATGCTGTGCTTACAGGTATTGTTGTTCTCTCTCTCTCTCTCTCTCTCTCTCTCTCTCTCTCGG